CTATGGCAACCACGACATCTCTTCAGGAACCACCTCCTTGAAGCTGATGTTCAAGAGGCGGGAAACTTATTAGCGTCATTAAATAGGAGCTTGTACTAAACATATCCATGGAGAGGAAGTTGTTGTACAAATATGATGTGCTTCAATATGCTTCAATTTTCCTGCAGTTTATGTCATGCTGTAAAATAAAATATTACTTGTAAGCCTTAGATGTTAGACCATACACTACATAAAATGCAAAAACACATCATTCAACTTAGTTTATACAAAGGAGAAAACTTCCCCACTAAAAAATTTGCTTTGTCTACATTACATAAGACTCTCTTCTAAAAAGTTTGTGTTGTGGTCACGAAAGTTTTTCCAAAGAAATCATGAGATTTTTTTCTCTAATTCAAATGTCATCTTTTGTTTCTGAGTGGCCTACAATTAAATTACCCACCTCTCAAACAGTGATGCTCTCATACTGCTGGTAATAGCTGATGGTTGAGCATCTCCTAACTTGAATACACTTTCTATCACAGACAGTTCAGTACTTGTAGTGTCCAGTCCACAAAATGAAACCCAGTCATTTACAACCATTCCTGCTCCAACGACATCACTTCCTCTGTTGACTGTCCCAGCCTAAATAAATTTCAACCACTATCAATGAATAACAAAACACTGCCTTGGACAAAGTATAAAACTTTGTCTCTTCACATCTGCACATTTATTGGTATTAAGAATATTATCACCACAATCTTAATATGTCTGGAGCATCAAACTGTCTTTCATAGTTTGCTTCTAACATTGATACAGTTGAACTTTTGAATAAATGTAAGTTAAAGCATGAACTCACCACCAGAGGAACTTGTAATAGTGATGACAACTCATCTTGATCTTCAACAGCTGTTCTTGGATGGACCTACAAAAAAAGTTTAAATTCCCTTCCACCTGTAGCATACAATGATCACATTTATAAATATCAGAATATTTATTTTGACCGGGTGGATAGCACACTTTATTTTCAACAGCCTTGTCCAAGAAATAATCATTTCTACATAGGCTGACACTTCTTTTGAAACTCTTGTAACATAAAATTGACAAAAGAATATTAATATGTATAGTGCATTTTATCACTCAAAATTTTTGGTTTAACAAAGTGACTGCAACAGTAAAAAGAAAAACAGAGTTTGATAATCCAACACTTACTAGGCCACCATTATTACTAAGAGCACAATAGCTCCCAACTAAAACATTCCCTGCCACAGTCTGACGAAAGACCTCCACCTTCAGGGTATCTGCTAAAATTTCCTCAGTTTCCTGAAAAGTAAAAATTATGTTCTTGTATCATTCCTATAAACATTCTTTTTCCAGGTGGAATGGACAGAGCTTTGTTTATGTTGTTCCAGGTGTGGGTAAGTCACGCAGAAATAGGAGTGGTCTGTTAGGGGGAAATATTCAAAAGTGTTTGGTTGTTCCTTTTAAAACTGTTTTTTTGCAACAAGAAAGTAGATGTGTTGATGACTTATTGTTCACACTTCTAGGTCTAACTCCCTTCCACATTTTGTAAAACAAGTTTAAGCTAACCAGACAGTTTTTAAGAATAAGAGCTAGCTTGTTTACAACCTTAATTGATTGTATAAGACTTACCCTGTCTAAATCAGGGTGCACAAGGGCAACATAGTCATTACAGACAATTACATTTCCTAACGCCGAAAGTCTCTCCTCCACTCTTGTTATCTTCACTGAATCAGGCAAGGCATTTCGAATATGCTGAAGTTCCTATATGAAAGCACAGAGAAAAAAATAAACAGTTTAGACACTTGCCAGATGTGATAAATCCATAAAAATAAAAATACCATTCCTATAACAAGGTCTTTTATTTTTGTGTTAACTAATTCAAAGTTGAATGTGTTGTTAAAAGTAAAGTATCAAATTAAATGTAAGAATTTTACTTTCTCAGTGTTAGAAAGATAAAAGGTTTCTAACATATAAAGTAAAGTAAAGCAGAGTCAATACCTCTTCAGAAAGTTGTCAGTCAACAAGCCACCATCATGGAATTTTCTTTCTCATTTATGCTTGTTAGAGTGAAATAACAAAGAAAGAGGTTTTTAAAAAATACCTGATCTGTTGTTGTATTTGGTACAAGAAGACCATTTCTGTTACCTGAAATATAACAAATTCCATGTGTTTAACAGTTCTTTTTCTATTTGACAACCAGACCTTGTGTGTGTGTATAGAAATGAAGTAAAGGAAGGCCGAGAGAAGTCTTAGACTACAGTAAAACCTCCATTTAACGAAGTGCCAAGGGATTAGGGAAATTGGTTTGTTGTATCAAAAACCTCAATTTGACAAATTTGCAGAAAAAACAACCAAAATGTTTGTTATATTGAGGGCCAGTTAATAATAATTTTTTTGAATTTTTTTTGGTTTTATGATGTGACATCATGCTACCCAGCATTTTGGGACTGAAATGATTACTGCTTCAACAACTATATGAAGCTACAGTACACTGCACAGGTCTATATGAAGCTATAGTATACAGTACAGGTCTGTACATAGCTACAGCACCTTGTTTGTAAAGAATGGACAACAAACTTCAGCGGAAGCCACAAATGGAGAAATAAAGGCATTGCACTGGAAATTCCGTCAAAAATAAAGAGGTTAAATTCAACTTAAACCCTTTAACTCCCAGATCAAATTTGTAATTCTCCTTTCTGTCAACCATACAATTGTTATCATGTTAGTTCAGAGAATTTGGTATTGAATCAACTAATTATCTCCCAATTGATATTTTTCTTAATTCTCATTACTCATCTGGTTGATATTGTATTGATATTGTAAGGAGAAATTGTCTTGGTCACTCATGGGAGTTAAAGGGTAAATAGCACTAATAAGAGACAAAAAGGATAAAGCAGATCTGTAGAAGTGTCCATAATATCAGTGTCTGCATTTACAATGAACTGTTAGCTGTAAAGTTGTTTTATTTTTATGAAATTGATGGATTTTGATTCTTGTCAGTCTTCTTGCATTTGTCTTTTGTCACGTGTTGAAATTTGTTCATTATATCACGGTATATTGAAGTTTGGGCTTCTAGATTCTGTTCGTTATAATGAGGATTTCGTTATACAGAGGTTCATTATATCAAGGTTCTTTCCCATACAATTTACTGTAGCTTTTGCCAGGCTGAAGAGTATTGTTCATGATACTGAGGACTTTGTTACATAGAGGTGTGTTAAATTGAGGTTCCACTGAAGTAATATGCAAAGAAAAAGGCAAGTGCACATTACATCAACAAGTCTTAACAGTGTAGATGTATGACAATGAATAATTTGGTCTTAGCACTTGAAATGAAGCTACATGGTATGTTTATAGTTATTTCCATAATTAAAAAATCTTCTATGCTAGTAGAGTAGACTTGAAGCAATAGACAAGGTCTCACCAACACACAGTCTCCCAACAATTCTAACGCCTGCAACTGATGTTCGAATTACAGGAATTACATCTGAGAGTTCACCTTCAAAAACACTACCAACACAAAATAAATAAATAAACATTTCCAGTCCTGTGAAACAGATAAATTCACCTTGTTCTTTTTGTACTATAACTGGGTCAAAGACAGGGGATGACTATATTCCTTCTATTCAAAAAAAAAAAAATCAATCTATGAGATCTGATCACAATTTGCTGTTGTGAACACAAATCATAACTCTCTTGCTGAAGAGGAGATGAAAAAGAATGAAAACCAAACTTAAGAGGGCAGTGGAAAGTAAGCCCATAAACTTTTAGGCAAAACGTGAACTTGGAAATAGTGCCTCAGAACACCAGACAAGATACAAGCATGATACAGTATGTACAGGTACAATGGTATTCATGGTAATACTAACTGCAAGTTGTTCAGATATCAAGTTCTTTTGGGTGACCATTCACTAACCCATAATTCATGTATTTTATCAAAGAATCCTTCCACCTTTCTTTTTTATATTTGCAATTTATACAACACAAAAATATGTTAACATCTTGATCAAAAACTGATCTTGTTGAACACTAGCCACCAAGTGCATTCTTACTGAGGAAGGCTTTCAAAGCTAAAGATTGACCTCAAACAAAGGAGGGAAAGTGTAAGAGGATCAAATGGCCCAAAAAATTAGAATGTTTCTGTGGTTGACTCCCTTCCTATTTTACTCCACTGACCCCACTCCTCCCTTGAAGTTCACAATGAAAGGCGCACTTCAAGGCCAGGAAGTGCCCCTTTATTAATTTCAGTGTTAGTACTAAATTCATAAATGACAAAAAAGAAAATATGACAACAAAGTTTGGTCCTATTTATACGCAAATTTTTCAAAAGAGTCGATGAGCAGATACAAGACGAACCAAATAATAGGAATAATAACAAAACGATGTATCTCCTAACACTGTCTATTGCAGTGGGCATGGCTGAAATGACAGAGAGATAAGCCACACAGCTTTACCCATGACCCTACGCACATAAACAATGATTAGGGATCAGTGGTTGTATAAATTCCCAAAGATAACGATGTGCTTAAGAATGTGCTATTGCGGACTAGAAACAGAGCACTGTACAGACTTAAATGCTCTTGAACCATTTCTATCGTCTTTTTCATGTGAAGTGCGATTTCTGATTCCCTTTTCCATTTCACTCTTTCCCGTTTCTTGCAAAAGAATTCTATTCCGTAAAATTCAAATACCAAGCTACACACTTATTCGACCAGTAAGCTTTCAAAGTACTTGTGCTACTTGCCTGTAGAAGTTCTCTGAAGCACCGATTCCCACGAGGCAATACGCGTTCGTCAACTTCGCGAAAACCCCAACTTCATTGCTGTTTTCAAATTTCGCTCTCACCGCCATGTTTGAAATGCCTGTTTTCTGTAGTTAGGTTCCGAGTCACGAAAATGACAAAACTGATTGAGAATTAGGGCAAACTATTGAGGGTCAAAGGAAGTAAAGAACACGAAACCGCATGTATTGCACAAGAAAGTGCAATAGGATGATGTAAGCGTTTACCAACTTGAAAGGAGGGCTATTCATATAAAACTTACTAAAGCGTCGCACTTATTTATCGTTTGCATCAAATTTCGTTGTTTTTATAAGAACAGATGCGTCCCCTTCTGTTCTGTTTTCCAGACTATAATATGGATAAAATTTTAAAATTTGGGCTGAAATGGCCCTCTGTACTGTGGTAGGCGGTAAAAAGGTAAAGAGAGTGAGGAATAGATCAACAAGAAGTTACCATGGGCACCCTTGACTTGTTGAAAAACAACAAACAACAAAATACTTCGAGAACCACCGAAATCTGACTTTTACTTCAAGTCCTTTCAGAGGAAATACTGTTGCTACAAGTGAAAAATAAGAAACATGGTTTATTTGTACAGGTGTACAAATATATATTGTGCACTGCAACTAAATGCACCACAGCCACGTGCAGTTTCCAAAAGACTAAATGCCTGACAGTCAAAAGCTTTTAGAGACTTTTCACAGAAAGGTTATTTCTCAAAAATTGCACACCTCCAATCAGGTTGCTGGACATGGTCTTGAATGGACTAACTTCTTAGCCAGAAATTATCAAAATGCCACTGAAAAGTTCCTAGTATCAGATTTTTGTTTAGAATGTCAAGTGATTCCAAAAATTGAGTTCTTGGTTCTTAAGTGGACAAATTTTCCGAGTTTTTGCATACTATAATGTAATATAATGTTAAGTCTGTTAATGGTTCAACTGGTTAAAATATTAATGTGTTTTAGTATGGTACCTTCCAGCTTGACCACTGAAAAACCAACATTTCTAAACAAACAACAAATTTACTCAATAAGTTTGTATGAATTTTTCAGAGGCATTTTATTTAAAGTTTCTGACTTCTGGGCATTTATTCCATTTGAGACCCAAGCCCAGTAGTGTGATAAGAGGTGTGCAATTCCTTAGTGTTGAAAACTGAGCAATATTTTAGTATGCTTAAGCTAGGAGAGTTTGTCCACTGAAAATCCAAATTAATTTTTGGAATCATTTAACATTTCTGAAAAAGCTCCTGATATTCGAAAGAGGTTTGAGAGAACCCTTTTTCTGGAAAATCTGTGAAAATTTCTTTCTGCCAGGCATTTAGGAGACCGTGGCCAGCTATTGGGCATTTACTCACAGTGTATTTCAAGAGTGCTACCTGCCAAAAGTAATAATCTTAAGAGTAACTCCACTTTGCCCCCACATTTAAAACTTTCAAATATATTATTCACAAATTTCTAGCCAATTTCTCCTTGAATATTCAAAAACTTCTGTATAAGTTATCAAACTTTAGTATACATATTTACAAATAATACTTAACATAAATTTATATTTCATCATCTACTAAGTCATGGAAATGTCAGAAAATCACTGAGACAAAAAATTGCCTCAGCCACAATGTACTAATTCTTTTGTACAATGTACACTTAAATAATCCTCTTTAATGTAATTATAGAGTTTGTAGTCTTGGCAACTTAGGACTGCATTTAAGTGGTTCCATTAAGACGAGAGCTAATGAGCCGGCCATTAGTGCTAAATAATGGTTCCTCCTACATTGAACTTTGATTGTGTGGTCTGATCATCCAAGTAAGAGAAGCTTTGAAAAGGTAATTTGGTTTTATCAACTGAGTTAGTAATGTAAATTAGCCACTGTAAAGAGCTTGAAAAGGTGATGTTTGAGCATCAGCCTTCTGTCAGAGCTTTGAAAAGGAATGTTATTCACAACAGTGATTGTAGTTTCAAGTTATGAGATAATGTCTAAAACACGAAATATTTAGCTTGTATTTCAAAAAAAACCCCAGAAATAAATATCCATAAGTGTAACAACACATCACTATGTCCTTACCCTTAATTAGTGATCTACTAGATCTAAATTTGCATTCATTTACCCCTTCCCAAATTGCTTCATTGTGAGACAAATATGTCATTTAGAGTTTGTTCTCTGCTTCATCTTCAGATGCCAAGTCACTGTGTACTTCACTGTATAACTGACTTGTTAAGCGCTGCATTTCTTCATGTGCATTGCGGACCTCCTGAAAGAACAATGCAGGAAAAAGAAGGGTAAGCACAGCAGCAATCAGCTGTAGCAATAATGACCCAGCAGTGCTGTATTTTACCTGTCTTGTAAACTTTCTGGTGAAGAATGGAATGAAATACTTAGCATCAAGCCGAGAGAAGCCCTTCAAAGCTTTCCTGCTGCTTATTCTCCATTCATCATCAGTCAGTTGATCTGCATCCACTGCTTTACCCTGTGGATTAACAAATGTTGGCTTACTGCTCTGTAAGTATACTGGCTGGAGGAAAAGAGGAACAGCACACAATGAAGAAGAAAGGCAGTAGAGAGATGAGGGGTGCATGGTCATGCCCAAGTTGTAATCATTTCATGACTTACCTCTGTCTGTGTTTTACTAAGTGTTAAACTCTTTTCCAATCCTTGATCTGCTTTGAGTAACTACAATGTAAAATGTATGACAGGAAAAAAAATTAAGTTTTCTTTTATTCATTAAAACTATTTCCACCATTTCAGCTTTTCCAACCACACATACTGTGCATGAATTGAAAGCCTAATAGAATTGATTTAGACTATACAATCATCATTTACAATGTATTGAAGTTCAATTCACCTTTAACAATGGAAGAGTTGATCCGCCTAAACACAGAATTGTGAACATAATTATAATGAGTGTAGAGGTGATGAGGACATGTCGCTTTTCATCATCCAACTGAAGATGGAGCACAAGAGCAAAGGCCACAGCCCCCCGTAAACCTGAGGATAGTATCAAATGTCATTACATCTACTTTGCAGAAATAAGCACTGACAGTATCATTTAGTCTGCTGATTCCATGATATCTCTTAGAGTGCTTGCTTTCAATCAGAGAACAATTACAAAAATACAGTTTGTGATTAAGGTTCTATAGATCTCTTTTACAGGAACTGTATGATAAAAGGAAAATTCCACAACTTTTGCTATATTATAGGGAAGGAGTCAACCAGACTTGATGCAACTTAACTGCACATAATTACATTGGTTACAGGTTTGTGGTTTAGCCTGTGTCCTGATCTAAAATGTCATTGGTCATGTGGTCATGGACCACAATGAGAACTACTGGTTCTACCAGTAATTGTGTTATCTAATAAAGTCATTATTATTATTATTATTATTATTATTATTATTATTATTATTATTATTATTATTATTATTATAATTATTATTATAACAGACAGCCACAAAAAATAATTCAGGTTACTTCAAGTTCTCTTAGTTTCACAGTGACATTATTTAGAAGGGAACATTCAGGGATGATAACACAAGATTAAGTTATGTGCATACTCTTTAACATTGTGCATGTAACCAAACAATAACTCATACAGACAAAGTATTTCTATTGCTTACATACGTACCACTAAACCACATTATGAACTGAGTTTTGCGAGAGATTCTAATATCTCTGAATTGGTTTACAAGGGAAGATAGTGGGTAAATATTCACTGCTCTTCCAAGTAAACAAAGAATCTAGTAAGTAACAATATAAAAGCAAGAAATAAGTATTTTAACAAAATTTAAACATGGCAAAATGTAAAAATAAAAATAAATGTGAATGCATCAAAAAAGATTGAACACTGTCTTGTAAAATCTAGAAGGGTATGAATGGTTATGGGTTGACATAAAATAGCCTCAGTAACCAAATTCTTAGAAAACTATTTGTAAAACAATCAGGTAGAAATTTCTGCACATTTTTCCGTGGGAACAGTCTTCCTTTCACAATACTTACTATAGTCCATATAACAAATGCTGGTCTAAATTGATGTTTGAAACTAAAGATTGCCATTCCTAAATAAGCAAATACACATGTTTCTGAAATAAAAAAAAGGTTTAGTAAATTAACATTCAGGGCAATGACAAACAAATCAAAGCTTCTCAAAGTTCTTGTTGGAAATAAAAATAATTGCTTTTTACTAAAGATCTTGTCCAGAAAGCCAAGTTTTCTCTAAAAAATCTGAGCGATTGACATGATGAGTCTTTACAGTGTTGTTGTCACCCAATAATTATCTCGTTCGCGTCTTAAGCTGTTATAGGCATTGGTGATGTTCACCAATGTTTAAGCTTCTGTTTGATGTTCACCAAAGCCATTTGGCTATGAACAGAGTGCAACTAGGAAGCTAAACTCAACATCATCATGTGACAAGTTCTGCATCCCAACCACACAGCAATGCCCCCTTAGTATATAAACAACAGTAACCACATCATAGGTCCACAGAGTTCCAAACCTCAGGTTTACCTCTTATCTGAGTCATTACATCACTCATCTACTCTCTGTAAACCATTTTTTATCTCAGGAATATGAATTAAACATACCTGCCATAAAAGCTGTTGTACGAAAAATCTGTTGTACTGTAATTTGAGTCATGGGTGACAAATTAAAATGGGTGTAGTGAGACATAACAATGCCACAGAATAAAATAGCCATGATTCCTGCAGTCAAACAGAACATAAGAAATTGGTCACCTGGGTGCATGGCAGGTAATACATGCATGAGAGGGAAATTCACCTCAGGGGTCATTCATAACTGAATAACTCTTCCTCAAGTTATCTTCTTGCTTGAATAGTTGACCTCCATGAATATTTTCTACTAAAATTATTACATGATCAATTGAACGGAAATGTGACACCTTTCTTTATATAATGTGCAGTTTGGGAAGTCGTTTTTATTCTATTTTATGGTCACTTAAACTAAAATCCCATGCAGTAGTTAATCATGTTACAGGGCTTAAAATTAACTCCAGAGCTTGGTGGCCAGTCAAGCCAGTTTCCTTGAATTCTTAGAGGCCCATTCCAAAATGGAGTTGCCCTCGATTTCCTCTAGTTTAAAATGAAAAACTTGAATAAATGCCCCATGGCTTTTAACAGAGTGTTAACTAAAAGGAAAGAACAACCTCACGAAATCACTGTTAAAATGGATGATCGCTAAAATGGATGATTGTAGAGTCCAGGCAA